TGTGAAGACGAGCGGCCAGAGGCGTATTGGTGGAAAATTTCATTTGTGCAGTTCTTCTTCAAGCAGCGTCATCAAGACCAAGACGACGGTGATCAAGTAGAAGTGCCAGGAGACATGGACATGAACCCAGCACCTCCGGCACCTCCACAACCAGATCGAGTACCCGAAGCACCAGCGGCGGTACCCCCTCCTGAAGAAGAAGAAAGAGCACCACGAAGAAGAAGAAAACATGACGGAGTTCACGACGACGACCGAGCACACAAGTATCGCACGCTGCCCCACGAGGAAGAAGAAAAGGATCGAGCAGCACCTGCAGACCGACGTCAACGACCAGATCCAGCAGTTGACCGAGACGAGGGACCTATCTTGGATCCCCCACCTTACGAGCCACCGACTGCAGGCGCAGCAGCATCCTCCTCAGGCGCAGCAACATCGACAGCAGCACCCACGACACCAGCAGTACGACCAGCCTCACCTACAACGACCGAGGAAATCAGCGACGAGGACTTCGAGCCCGGGACGGGCGTCGATGATCGCGGACCGCCACCAGATCCAGGTGACGGAGGCTGGCGCATTGCGGAAGGCGACGACCTCTACTGCGACCACCGCGGCAATGAGGTCAGGCTACCCACTACGATGGACGAGTTCAAGGCGTATATCACGAGCAGGAATCCAGAGCCCCTGCTCAAGCGAAGGAGCGTGAACGACGATTTCGACCAGTCCGAGTTCGAGTACTTCGAGGCACCGGCACAGCAGACGAAGCACGATTTGGTGGACCAGTCAAGGGACATGACGTTTCACTTCGAGCGCGAGGAACCCGTGGCGGAGTTTGCCTTACCTCGGTATATCGCTAATCTGGAGTTTCGAACGAAGCAGCGCACTCCCGAAGGGTATGATTTGGTTTATTTCCGATCTAAGACTAAGCTCAGCAGCCAAGTTATCAAACGAGATCTTCACAACCTCAGTGCAGATGATCAGCGACAACATCATGAAAAGGTTATCAGTTCTATGAAAAGAGAGTTGCAGCAGTGGCTGGAGCTCGAGAGCGTTGGCATCATGCTCAAGCGGGACGCCACCAACCTCGTCGACGGCACATGGGTTTTCAAGTGGAAGATCATGATTCTTGATGGCAAGGAGCAGCGCGAGGTCAAGGGTAGATGGACGCTGAGGGGATTCAAGGACAGGCAGTCCCAGGTGGAGACCTTCAGCGGAACCGCAGCCCGGTACAGCACACGAGTGGTGAACAGTCACGCATGCCAGAATGAGTATGATTTGTGGGCACTGGACATCTCAGGAGCTTTCCTTAAGGGCCTTACGTTCGACGAGATCAATCAAATGACGACGGACGGTTTGATCAGGCAAGTTCAGCTTGTTGTAGACGCCAAGACAGCTTCCGTTTTGAGGACGTTCAAGGGCTGGGAGGGCTTCAATCATGAGAAACACTGCCTACGTATTTTGCGACCGATTTGGGGACTGAAGGACGCACCGAGATTGTTTACCTTGAAGTTGGCACAAGTTATGAATGCGACGCACCATATTCCAAGCAAGACTGACAACAAGCTGTACATGAGGCACGACAACCAGAATAAGTGTATTTCATTGGTTTGCGGTCATCTAGATGACTTAAAAGGATCATCGACGACTTCGGCACGAGAAGAATTATGGAAGGCATTGGAGACTGCATTTGGCAAGTGCAGCAAGCATATGGACAAGTTCATGTACCTGGGAGTGGAGCACGAGCAGACGACGGACAAGAAGTCGATCTACATACATCAGAAGGGCTACATCGCGGAGTTGCACATGATACCCTTGCCAGCTCATTCAGCTCACCGACCAGATGATGATCTCAGCATAGAATTGCACACCTTGGCAAGGAGTCTCTTGGGAGCGTTGTCATGGGTAACTCAATCAAGGCCAGAAATTCAAGTTTTCGTTGGACTATGTCAGCGTAACGCCAAGCAGCTCAAGCACAAGCACGCACAGGTTTTGAATCTGAGTTTGAAGTGGATCCAGACGCATCATGCAGGAGTGCGATATTCGCAGATGTTGGGAGACACAGCTTTATATTGTATTGTGGATTCAGCTTTCAGAGCAGACGAACCAGATTGCCTAGCACTTCGAGCAGACATCATGGGATTGTGTCAGCACACCAGCACGAAGATCGGAGGCAAACTACACATGTTCGTGACGACCAGCAAGAAGCAATCCAGAGTGAATAGAAATACATTCAGCGCAGAAGCAGGAGCAGTTGGAGACGCAGCATCTATGTGCATTGTGTTGGCAGGTCTTTTACATGAAGTTGACAGAGGCTCGCAGACGGCTACCCAACTGGCGACATACGCAGAGCGAGGTGGTTTCAGCAGGAAGATCATAGTCTTCACGGACAGCGAGTCATTTTTCAAGGCGTGCACGGCCACCGAGGTTCAACTTCCGACTGAGCGACACCTAGCATACACAGTGATGAAAGTGCGAGAATGGTTGGACCGCGGCATCATAGCAGAATTGATATGGATAGACACGAGGGATATGTTGTGCGACGGACTCACCAAGGGCAGTATCAGTAGGTTCGACGTCATGAATGCGTTGAATCAGGGCGAGTGGCGACCACAGCACGAACCGAAGAGATGGAGTTCGAAATCCCAGACCGCCGACAAGAAGAAACGCTGAACGACGATTGCCACCTGAAGAGCATTAGAGTGCTACAGTTCATCGACCACCTGTGGAACGTTATAGTGCAGAAGTACGGCCTCCACGAGTGGTGCGTCTACTGCGAGAAGATCATGTACGTTAGGCCAGCTTGTTGACATTTTTTGTTGTTGCCTGCCACCGCTACCGTTGTGCCGCCGCGTATCACACGTCATTGCTTATGCGTAGTTGTAATAATTAGTTCCTCCTCACTTTAGTTGCCGTCAATTAGTCATGGGCCACAGAGCCTACTGCGTAGATTAAGCCATCACGAGAGTAAGTTGTTACATGCCTCACACGTTCCTCTCTCGGGGCCCTCTAGAGCTCACCGGGGGCCCGGCGAATTCACAGCCCGTACTGTAATGTACTGGCTCAAGACGCGTCATAGTTGTGTACTGTTCGAGCGATCGATACGGAAAACACAGCCCCACTGCATTCAGCCGCCATCGCTGCCGGGAGGAGAGGAGTTATATCACGTGCCACTGCACGCCTCCTCCTCCTCCTCCTCCTCTTCCCCACCGCCGGTCTATCGGCGATGCCTCGCCGATTCCAGGTCGCTGTTTCCCCCCCCCCCCCCCGGAGCTTGTTCCCCTCGACGTTCCCTCTCGCCCGATCCCGTCGCCCCGCCGCCTGCGATGCCTGCGCGTCCGCGGAGGGCGAGGGGAAGCCGTCGCCGTGAAGCAGGCCGAGATCTCCGAAGGTGTGTTCTTTGTAGTCCGACCGGCGATTTGTAGTAGAGTTCGACCCCATTGGGGGCCGTTTGCGGGCCTTTGGGCCATCCAGCATTGATCCGGGGCGGAGAGCTTGGGTTGTCGCCGATCCGAGGCACGCGTCGATCCGATCCGATCTGCCGATTCCAGGCATCTGGCGCTCCACACTGTTCGATGCGTCGACCCCTGGAGCGGAGAGCTTGGGTTGTCGGCAACGCGCAGAGGGGGGTAGGGGGAGGGGGGGAAGGCTTCTTAGAAGCGCCCCTGCTTCTCAGAAGGCGCGGGCCTCGTCCGTAGATGTGAGGCCCGCGCCCCTTCTGAGAAGCAGCCTCCTTCTGAGAAGCCTTCCCCCCTCCCCTACAGCCGGGGCCCTGCAGAAGGAACCCTTTTGGTTGGGGAGGGGCTCCGCGTTCCTTCAGTGTTTCACAGCTTACCTCAGGTTTTCCTTATGTTTCCGATCGGAAATCAAAGTTGAACTTATGGAAAAAAAGGGGCCTCGTTCAACGCCCCGACTGTATAACCCCCCTCTGCTCGCCGCCAAGGTTGGCCTCCCATCGCCTTCCACGGGCCCTGGGGCTGTTTGAAGGCGGCCACGGGGTCCAGGAGGAAGGCCCCAGGGTCCAGGGCCTTCCACCAGGACCCTCTTGCTTCCTGCCAGCGTATGGTCCAGGAGGACGGCGGCGCGAATGAGGAGGGGGGGGGGGCACGAGTGCACGAGGGCGAGCGCCAGTTTCACGCACGGTGTTGTGCATTCTTGGAGGATTCCGCAGGGGCTCCTTGGCAAGGGTCCTCTCCTGCGCGCAATCGCACGACGAAGACAGGAAATGAAAGGGAAAGGGTGGAGCAGCAGGGTCGCGCTGCGCGAGGCGCGAAGGAGGAGGGGGAGGAGGAGGAGGAGGGGGAGGAGGAGGGAGGAGGAGGAGGAGGAGGAGGAGGAGGAGGAGGAGGAGGAGGAGGAAGAGGAGAACGAGGAGGGTGAGGAGCAGCAGCAGTGCCTGGAGGAGGAGGAGCAGGAGCCCGTCGCAGAACAGTGCAGTAGCACAGCAGGGCGGCGAATGCGCGGACCAGCAGAGAGAGGGGGCCAGCGGGTGTGCGCTGGGCAGGCACTGGCGCGCGCCCAGCCCAGCGCCCGACCCACTCGTTGCAATGCTCTTCGGTGGTGAGCATGTGTCTTGCAAACGTCTCCGGGCCCTCTCAGACGGACTCCGCTCAGAACGAGCTCCCGACACTCCTCGAGAGCACGGTCCTGCGGGGCTTGGTAACACATCGAGGTCGCTGGTATGCGGATCCTGATGGAGTCTCCGTGCACGTCAAGTTCCGAATGGTGAGGCGAGTTGGCCATATGATACGTCGACGTCACAAGTTCACGCATCGATAATGGGACCATTGTTCCAGAGGTCGTGACTGAATCAACGGATTGCCTCTGTCGGTCTGGCATCAGTGTTCCTCACGCTTCAGGTTGCGACCAAGGACATGTACCGATTCAGTCAGGACTTCGAAGAGGATTCATGTCTGAGAGATGTCGGCTAGGAGAGGACCCTTCGACCTCGGTGTCAGCATGGCGATTTTGAATATTTGGATTTGTACACCAGCGCGCCAAGCCTCATGCAACTACATCAGCAATCATGGATTCAAATTGGTGGCTATCACATTCCAGGTTTGAAGAAAAGTCGTTCAGTCGTCGCTTCTCCAGCAGTGTTGCGTCAGCAGGTCTCAGGTGAGATGGTGAGATATGCGGCCACAGGCCCGAACACCATCCTGTACTTGATGGTCATGGGGTCAACGCCTCAGGAGCTGGGGGGTCGTGCGTACCAATGCGCATGTATCCCCAACGCTTCGCGGCACCTCGTCCAGACAGGGGAGGTCTTCCAGTTCTCGTGGACTGCACTGGTGACTACAGTCGGGGCGTTGAATAAGGAACCTTTTTCGTTGGGGAGGGGCTCGGTGTTCCTTGATTGTTTTACAGTTTGCCTTGGGTTTTCCTAAGGTTTTCCATGAAAAATCAAAGTTCAACTTATAGGGAAAAGGGGCCTCGTTCCTTATTTAGGGTTCCTTGGGTCAACGCCCCGACTGTAGTGGTGTTCTCCGTCAGCGTGCCGTTGCCGTGGACGAGCAGCCTTTCGGGGTTCTCTGGGCCTCTGGGAGGCTGGCTCGGGGTCCGCGCGGGGCTCTCTCGAGCAGTGTTCTGTGTGCCGCTTTTCATCGCTGTTTCTGCCCCAGGGGGGGGAGGGGCTACAGGGCTGGATTTTTGGGCGCATGGCGCCACGTCACCCACGTCGGCACACTCCTTACCCAGGATCGTGCCCCCCCCCCTCCCCACACACACACTCGGAGCTTACTCAGGAGGGAACAAAAACACACACAGACACAACGAATCGTCGATTCCCCAGAACATATAGGAAAATATGGGAAGTGGGGGGGAAGACAAAAACCCAGAACATATGGGAAAATATGGGGGATCCTGTTATTTGTGTGTATTTATGTGTGTGTGTGTCCTTGGGCCCATTGACTCACAGTATGGTACCATGGCGGAAGGTCGCACGGCGCCACCTCGCTCACTTCGGCACGTCCCTCGCGCTGATCGTCTCCCACAGGGAGTTGGAAGTCCTTCCCTTCCGCAGAGCGAAGCACATAGAGTGGCCTTCGGTCCATCCCGCCGTTGTGTCTACAGGTCGTTGGTCAGAGGTGCCTCGGATGTCTCCTGGGATCTCTGGGAACGCCTCTCGGGAGTCTTGTGAATGCCCCTCGGGAGCCTCCTGGGTACCTCCAGGGGCCTCTTAAGAGGTCTCCTGGGCCTCGTGGGAGCCTCTCGGGGGCCCGCCGGCCGTGTCAGGGGCCATCTTGGCCGGAAACGCTCGGAACGTAAGTTTGGGATCCCCTTCTCGGGGCCCTCCTGGGGACTCCTTGCTGGGGCTGTGCTGCGTGGGCGTCTGAGCCAGCAGTGCTTCCCTCCAGCCGCTGCCATCGCTTATGGCTTTGCCGCCAGCCTGTCCCTTCAGACCGAACCTTCATACAACAAGACAGCGCCAGCAATCCCAATCAAGGAAGGCGTAGCCCAGTGGACGCATGCCAGTTCGAGGCTCTCGTCTCAAGCGGTGGTCGAGTCAGCACGTACAGGCGTATGCAATGCCTTTTGAAGTGGGGTGGATTGACAACCAGTCGCGGCTAAGAAGAGAGTAGACAATCAACGATTGCGTTCCCTAGTACTGAAAAATAAGCGCACTCTCTTCACGTGCCAGCTCACCGCCATGTATGCGCAGCTGGTGCATCAGCAGCATTCTTGGTTCAAGCGGATTCCCATGCGGTGTATCGTGGGGTCGGGTGCCGCCGTCGGCGCCGCCCTCGGCGCCGCCCTCGGCGCCGCCTTCTGCTCCCGGGCAGGCATGGTATCCGTCGCGCCGCTGGAAAGGAAGATCGACCCCCTGAGGTGTATGGGCAATTGGTACGTGCAGGTGTCCATCCCGACGCCGTTCGACCGCGGGGCTGCGAATGGGCTCGAGCAGTACGAGTGGGACGAGGAGAGGCAGCGCGTGATGGTGAAGTACACTTTCAACAGCGGCTCCTTCGAGGGCAAGACGAGAGAGGTGGCGCAGGTAGGCCGCGTGCACCCCGAGAGCGAGCACGGGACCACGTGGCAGGTCGCGCCGTGGCTGGGCCTGTTCTACCTGCCCTTTTGGCTCGACTACATCGTCATCGACATCGACGACAGGGACTACTCCTACATGGTGTGCTCCTCTCCCAGCACCGGCGGCCTGGCCCCCTGGATGTACATCTCGGGGGCTGCCAGACGCTGTCCTGGCCCGCGGCGTCTCCGGCTTCTCGGGCCACTCTGGAGGAGGCTCCGGGGCCCTCTGGGCTCCGTGAGCTTACGTAGCTGCCTCGATACGCCCGTTTTGATACGCAGCACGTGCCGTGCTCAAGACGTCCGCGTCGATACGTTGCGTGTTGGCTCAACGTATTGGCCGACGCTTTGGCGAACGCACCGCGTCAGACCTACGTTTTTAGTCTACGTGTTGAGCTCCGTATCAATCGGCTAGGTGTTGCGTGCTGCGTACCGGGGCAGCTGAGCCCGTGAGGGGTGACCTGGAGGCCATCTGGGCCTGCCTGGAGGTCCTGGGGACACCTCGGGCCAGGGGCACTCCGGGCAACACCCGGACGTCATGACGAGGCAGAAGGTGGTAGAGGACGACTACCTGGATAGGGGGTACATGCGAACCCCACCTCCACCCTCAACGATTTCTGAGGGGGAGGGTGGGGTTCACTTTGCTCGGGAGCTCCCGAACGAAGTGAACCCCACCCCCCCCTCAAAAATCATGGGGGCGGGGGTAGGCCCAGACCCCCGACGTAATGATTTTTTTCATTACGTCAACCGCAGAGTTCTCGACCCCTTCCCCGGGACCGGCTTGTCATCCTGAGTCGTTTTTTTGACGCTCCCGAAGCCCGGTGAGGGCCCCCCGAGGCCGAAAAGGGCGAAAAGCCTCCCGTCATGATTTTTTCATTACTCCAGGGGGTCTGGGGGGGTCGCACGTGGCCCCCTGCCTGGAGCCGCTGCGGGCCGCGGCGGTCCGGGCCGGCTGGGAGGCGTCCGCGATGGAGCGGGTGCCGCAGCAGCCGCCCGGTGCTGGCTGCGAGCGCGGAGGAGGCCGCGCCGCGTGAGGCGGCGGCGCGCCCCGGAGGCGAGCAGTGGCGGAGCCTGTGGCCCCACCACACAATGTTCAGGAGGGGAAAAAACACACAGACACAAGTCATCGGCGATCCTAAGGAACATATGGGAAAATATGGGAAGTGGGGGGGAAGACGAAAACCCAGAAAACCCAGACCTCCTCGCCTTGTGAAAAATTCACGACGGCAGGTTTTTCCCGGAAAGGGCTCGAGCCCAGGGTTCTCTTTTAGTTGGTAAACCTGTCCCCCGGTGCCAACTTGAAGGAGGCCGGCGAATTTTTTCCCTGATAAATATCGAGGTCGAAGGAGGCCGGCGAATTAAAATTTGAGGATGTCTCGAGCGAAACGCTTGTTTTTGAAATCCCGATCGATAAATCACAGGGTGCGGGCCACTTTTTCGTGTGTTGAGGATGTCTCGAGCGAAACGCTTGCTCCGCAGAGTTTGCCGAGGATGTCTCGAGCGAAACGCTTGTTTTGCAGAGCCGACCGCGACGCGGAAAAGCGCCCCGCGCGAAGGAATTTCGATGATGTCTCGACTAATTTGTTTGTTTTTGTACGATTTCCTGGAATTTTGGCAGGATGTCTCGAGCGAAATGCACGACCCCACCCTAGCACGACCATACCCCAGCACGACCACACCCCAGCACGACCAGACCCCAGCACGACCCCACCCCAGCACGACCCCACCCCAGCACGACCATACCCCAGCACGACCACACCCCAGCACGACCCGACCCCAGCACGACCCTACCCCAGCAAGACCACACCCCAGCACGACCACACCCCAGCACGACCTCACCACAGCACGACCACACCCCAGCACGACCACGCCCCAGCACGACCACGCCCCAGCACGACCACGCCCCAGCACGACCACCCCCAGCACGACCACCCCCCCAGCACGACCACCCCCCAGCACGACCACCCCCCAGCACGACCACACCCCAGCACGACCACTCCCCAGCACGACCACACCCCAGCACGACCACACCCCAGCACGACCACACCCAGTCGCACCCCCGTGGAATGTTTCGTGGCGTGTCTGGTTGAGTGGTTGCCTGTTCGTGGGGTGTCTCGTGGAATGTTTCAAAGGGTGTCTCGTGGAATGTTTCGTGAGGTGTCTCGTGGAATGTTTCGTGAGGTGTCTCGTGGGATGTTTCGCGGGGTGGCACGACCACGCCCCAGCACGACCACCCCCCCAGCACGACCACCCCCCAGCACGACCACCCCCCCAGCACGACCACCCCCCAGCACGACCACACCCCAGCACGACCACACCCCAGCACGACCACTCCCCAGCACGACCACACCCCAGCACGACCACACCCCAGCACGACCACACCCAGTCGCACCCCCGTGGAATGTTTCGTGGCGTGTCTGGTTGAGTGGTTGCCTGTTCGTGGGGTGTCTCGTGGAATGTTTCAAAGGGTGTCTCGTGGAATGTTTCGTGAGGTGTCTCGTGGAATGTTTCGTGAGGTGTCTCGTGGGATGTTTCGCGGGGTGTCTCGTGGGATGTTTCGTGAGATGTCGCCCAGTTGGGTATCGTGAAAACGTGACCATGCTGCACATGTCTTTATCCCTTTCCGGGTTCGTGGGTCCATCATGTTCGCTATTTTCGGCCTTTGGGGGCCCTCGCCGGGCCCCGGGACCGTCAAAAATCGACTCAGAACGAAAAACGGGTCCCAGGGAATGGGTCCAGACTTCTGGGGGTCGCGCCATGAAAAACTCATGACGTCGGGGGTCTGGGAACAATGTTCTAAGAACCTTTTTGTGGTCTGCACGACATGTTCTTAGAACATTTCTGGCCGGGGCTGTCTTGGTTTGACACATCGGGCTAATGCTCCAAGGACATTGCGTTTTGCTATTTGAGCATTCTTCGGGTTCTAAGAACAACCGGGTTGGGCATTCTTCGTGGTAGGACTATGGAAATGCCGGGACGGCTGGTCCCTGCTCAACAGAGAGGGGAAGGCGCGGGGGGAAGTTCGGGCCCGAGGTCCGAAGTTTGCCGGTGCGCTCGTCGTTCCTTGGCGGCTCCCCAGAGATCCAAAGTATTGAACAAAAACACGACGGAGGTTTTTCGCAAATCTCGGCTCCTAGTCGCCCTCGCCGGGCCTCGGGACCGTCAAAAAACTACTCGAACCGAAAAACCGGGCCTGGGGAATGGATCGAGGCTTCCGGGGACCGCGTACCCAGAGATCCGACGTCATGATTTTTTCAATGCGCGCGGTCCCCGGAAGCCTCGATCCATTCCCCAGGACCCGTTTTTCATCCTGAGTCGTTTTTTCCCGGAAAGGGCAAAGGCCCAGGGTTCTCTTTTAGTATGTAAACATGTTCCCGGTGCCCAACTTGAAGGAGGCCGGCGAAATTTTTCCCTGATGAATATCGAGGTCGAAGGAGGCCGGCGAAATTATGTTTGAGGATGTCTCGAGCGAAACGCTTGTTTTTCACAATTTGTTGAGGATGTTTCGAGCGAGACGCTGGTTTTGCAGAGTTGGGGATGTCTCGAGCGAAACGCTTGTTTTCAGAATTTGTCGAGGATGTCTCGAGCGAAACGCTGGTTTTGCAGAGCCGACCGCGACGCGGAAAAGCGCCCCGCGCGCAGGAATTTCGAGGATGCCTCGAATAATTCGTTTGTTATTCTAGGATTTCGCTGAATTTCGGAAAGATGTCTCGAGCGAAATGCACGACCCCACCGTAGCACGACCACACCCCAGCACGACCACACCCCAGCACGACCACACCCCAGCACGACCACGCCCCAGCACGACCCCACCCCAGCACGACCACACCCCAGCACGACCACACCCCAGCACGACGCCACCCCAGCACGACCCCACCCCAGCAAGACCACACCCCAACACGACCACACCCCAGCACGACCTCACCACAGCACGACCTCACCCCAGCACGACCACGCCCCAGCACGACCACGCCCCAGCACGACCACGCCCCAGCACGACCACGCCCCAGCACGACCACACCCCCAGCACGACCACACCCCCAGCACGACTACCCCCCAACACGACCACCCCCCAGCACGACTACTCCCCAGCACGACCACTCCCCAGCACGACCACACCCCAGCACGACCACACCCAAGCACGACCACACCCAGTCGCACCCCCGTGGAATGTTTCGTGGTGTGTCTGGTTGAGTGGTTGCCTGTTCACGGGGTGTCTCGTGGAATGTTTCACGGGGTGTCTCGTGGAATGTTTCGTGAGGTGTCTCGTGGAATGTTTCGTGAGGTGTCTCGTGGGATGTTTCGCGGGGTGTCTCGTGGGATGTTTCGTGGGGTGTCGCCCAGTTGGGTATCGCGAAAACGTGACCATGCTGCACATGTCTATATCCCTTTCCGGGTTCGTGGGTCCATCATGTTGACGGTCCCGGGGCCCAGCGACGGCCCCTAGAGGCCGAAAATTGCGAAAAACCTCCGTCGTGATTTTTTCAACACGTTGGACCTTTGGGTATTGAAAAATCACGACGTCGAATCTCTGGGTCTGCAGCCTGGGAGTGCTTTCCGGCGGCTGCGCCTCGCCGAGGGCGTTCCTCTCGGACATACGTGCTCGTCGGCCTCCGGCGGTCCTCCTGCCTCGGGGTGCTCTCCAGCGGCTGCGCCTCGCCGGGGGCTGTCCGGGGGAGGCCCGGAGCGTGCCGGACGACCGCCAGAGAGCCGAGCCCAGACCTCCTCGCGCTGTGAAAAAATCACGACGGGAGGTTTTCTGTTATTTTCGGCCTCCGGGGGCCCTCGCCGGGCCTCGGGGCCGTCAAAAAACACTCAGGACGAAGAACCGGACCCGGGGAAGGGGTCCAGACCTCTGGGGGTCGAAGTTGTGAAAAAATCACGACGTCGGGGGTCTGGGAGTTAGGATTCCGAGACCACCGGGCGTCAGAGCGAGGGGGGCGGCCTCCTCAGAAATCTTGGAAGGCCTCGCGCCTTCTGAGAGGCTTCCCGAGTCTTCTCGCTGCCGCTGCAGGATCCGGCCTGAACAGGGCACACCTGCTTTTCAAGAGGGGCTCGGTCGTTCCTCTGGTCTGCATGCGTTCCGCCGCCTTTTTGGCGGCGAGGCCCCCCGGTGTTCCTCCGGACTTCGTGGACTTACTTGGAAAACAGGGGCGTCGTTCCTTACTTATCGTTCTTCCTAGAGATCCGACGTCGTGATATTTTCAATGCGCGGTCCCCGGAAGCCTCGATCCATTCCCCAGGACCCGTTTTTCATCCTGCGCCGTTTTGTTGACGGTCCCGAGGCCCAGCGAGGGCACCTATAGGGGCCGAAATTTGCAAAAAACCTCCGTCGTGATCTTGTTCCATGCGTGGGATCTCCAGGTTCAGACCAGGCCGAATGCTGTAGCCCCCCCGTCGCGCCGTGGCAGCGCGCCCAGACATGATCATCGCGCTGTGTAGGAAGCAGGACGGCGGGGCGGGGTGGGCGGTACCCCCCCCCCACCTCCCGAGGCCGAGAACGGCCCGACGTCGGGCCCGTTCTCGGCCTCGGGGGGGGCCCCTCGCTGGGGCCTTCGGCACCGTCAGAAGAAGAGCTC